ACCATTACACCTGGCTCAAAATCTATTATTAAAAATGACAATGATAATGATTAAATGGCTGATTTTTAGTGAGTGAAAACTCTTCTACTACTCAACCTCCCTAAAAAGTTCCCCTTCTGTCTCTAACTAAAATCTGTCCGTGAAACCCTCTCATTTGGAGATTGCTGCTTCTTTTCTATATTTGCTATAAGCGGGGAATATTCCTTCTTGCTTCTTCTAAACCTTTTTTCCTCTGTCTTCAAAAACCTGAATACATTTTAATTTCTCACCAACAGACTTCATTTACTATCCGACCTTGTTCATGTCATCTACTGACGCTCAACTTCCCTACTCTTCAGTTGAACACTTCAGACTTTGCCATCTTCCATTCTACCCCTAAACTGTTCTTGCTAACATCAACAATCATCCACATGGATAACTTACCTAACACTGTGGTCTTCCATGTCTTTAGCCTCCTCTTCACAATCAGGCCCAACATACAATTCCAGCTTCCCATTCTGTGGTAATACCCTTCAATATCAGCACCAAAGACTGCCTCATGTCCAAAATCTGGATGTTAGGCATCCTGACACTTGACGACCACCTACTATCCTTCTAGCTCATCTAGACCAGTAATTCTCCAATCTCAGTATCTCCCACCTGATCATTTATTTTTTGCCCCGAGCTTATTTTGTAGGTTCCACCTGCTAATTTTGCCACTTTTCTCATGATCCATCATCTTCATTATGTCCTCACTTCCCTTCTTGTTCAACTTAGATTCCAAGGCTCACTATTAAATGCTCTTGTAAAGATCCTTAATTCCCTTAATTGTCAGTTTCTTAACATGGTCTCCTGGGAAACTTCACCTCTGATTAGAATCAACTAATCAAACTCTCCATGCTTATACAAAAACCTTTGAATCTTGCTGGAGAGAAAAACATTGAGGATTCACTTTAAATTCTTCTTCTTATTATTTTTTTTTAGACAGGGTCTTGTTCTGTCACCCGGGTTGGAATGCAGTGGTGCAATCTTGGCTCACTGTAACCTCCACCTCCCAGGCTGCTCAAGTGATCCTTCCACCTCAGCCTCCCAGGTAACTGAGATCACATACGTATGCCACCATGCCTGGCTATTTTTTGTATTTTCAATAGAGATGGGGTTTCACCAGGTTGACCAGGCTGTTCTCCAACTCCTGACCTCAAGTGATCTGCCCACCTTGGCCTCCCAAAGTGCTGAGATTACAGATGATGAGCCACCACACCCAGCCAGCTTGGAATGCTTCTGAAGAGTTTCTAGCACTCTACAGCTGGAGTTACAAACAATACTGCTTTATTACTAACGTTCTCTATTCTAAATCTTGGGTGAAGATAGCTGTGTGTACTTATTTAAAATCCATACTATTGTTCTCTTGCTGCTAAAAATTAGTATGACAGTCCTAGAATTAAATTTTTCTTTTTTTTTTAGTTTACCCAAAGTATATAAAATACAAAACAAACTACTCAAATCACAGAGATTAGGAATAAGGCAAAGTGTTCTACAAAAATAATAAAGAATTAAAGAAATGAAGGTGTTATGCATATTACCTTCTTACTTACAAACTCCTTTCTTGAGGAACATTCAAATTTACTAAATGGGATTTTGTTTCCCCACCACACCTGGAAAGGAGGCACTACGTTTTTATAGACTTTTGAAATCTAAATAAACTAAAAGATTAAGAGATACTAGTCTTTAATTATACACTGAGTGGATGACATACCAAAAGAAAGAACTCAGAAATCTGAGATACATTTGATAAACTGATGGCTACTTAAGATTTAAATAAGTTGAGAAATATAGTATGACAGTTAGGACTAGAAGAGTAAGAGTGTCCATTTCACTTAGAACCCCAACGGGTTTTGACAAATTGATCTTAAAATTATACTGAAGGGTGGCCAGGCACAGTGGCTCACACCTGTAATCCCAGAGCTTTGGGAGGCCGAGGCAGGTGGATCGCCCGAGGTCAGTTCAAGACCAGCATGGCCAACATGGTGAAATCCTGTCTCTACTAAAAAT